CGCGGCCGCGCCCGCCGCTGCACGACGGCGCGTGCTGCTGCTGCGCGGCCGCGGCGGGGGGCGAGGTGTCTGGGTGGTATCCCTCCAGCTGCAGGTGCGCCATGACCTGAGGGAGGGAGGTGGTGTGTGGCAGTCAGCAGATGAGAGCGCCATGCGGGGCAGCTTGTTGCAGCGAGGGCGCCGTGCAGCTCAGCCTTGCCCAAACGCACAACACACACAGCTTTACATGCAAACAACCTACACACACACGCACACAGCCTGCATGCAGCCACCCACCATGTTGAACACGGAGTAGCTGGAGAGGCCGCCGGTGAAGACCTCGTTGGAGCCGCGCTGCCTGCGGCACGGCACGGCACAGCGTGGCACATCACGGCACAGCGTGGGGCACAGCACGGCAGGGTGCAGCACAGCAGGGCACAACGGGGCACATGCATGGCACGAAGCAAGCAAGCGTGCGTGGTGCCGAGGAGCACGCGCCATGCGCGGCGCCAGCCTGCCCATTCGGTGCTGCATAGATGCGCAGCGGCGCGGCTGCAGCCAGCCGCCCCCCAGCCTCTGCCGCACGCAGCCGCGGGGCCGCGGGCCGCACCTGAGGAAGGCCTTGACGGCGAGGCAGAGCGGGCGCAGCGGCGGCACCACCAGCACCTGCCGCCGCACAAAGTCGACGGCCTGGGCGCCGTTCTCAGCGCCCAGGCTGACGTCAGCTGCCAGCCCACCGCCTGCAGGAGGATGGAGGGAACAGGGGAAAGATGCGAGCAGGTGGGGGAGTGGCAGGTGAGGGTATGGACTGGCAGGGGCAAGCCCAGCAGCCGGGCAAGGGGTGGAAAGGGGGGGGCAGGGCGCCGGGTGCTGCGGCGCAAGCACCCGGCGCCGCGGCATCCATGTGCCGCCGCCCGCCCTCCCTCTGCCCTTGCCTGCCCTTCACGCGCAAGTTCCCCAACCCAGGCCCAGGCCCACCCGCCACTCACCCACGTCTAGCCGGCACTTGATGATGGGCACGCGAGCCTCGATGATCTGAGCCTTCCCGGTCAGCAGGCGGCGCTGCGGCACGGCGGGCACGGGGTGGGAGCGGGGGGGTGGGTCACAGGGCGAGCACGGCAGGCTGGCGGGGCGGGGCAGGCAGGCAGGCGAGGCGGCACCAGGGCAGCCAAACAGCCAACCAACCCAGCTGTGCGCACCAAGGCACACACATTACCAGCCACCCGCCCGCCACACACATGCGCACACACACACGCCCCACCACAGCACGCCACCACCAGCACCACCATCCCCACCACCACCACCGCCACACACCACCACCACACCTCCACCACAGCCGCCACACTCCACCACCACACACCACCACACACCACCGCCGCCACACACCACCACCACACGCCGCCACACACCACCACACGCCGCCCACCTGCAGCAGGGTGTCCAGCAAATCCTCCAGCAGCTCCCCCAGCTGCTTGCGCTGCACGGGCGCGAAGCCGGTGCCCGCGCGCGCCAGCGGCGGCCCCACCCCCAACACCACAATGTCCAGGTCGGAGCCGGGGAGCGCGAGCCCCGTGGCCTGCGAGGGGGGCAGGGCAGGTGGGGGCAGGCAGGCACGAATGGGTGAGGGCAGCACAGGCAAGCCGGCGCAGGCAGGCAGCAGGGGAGAGGTGTCGGGCTCGGCGTGCGGCCAGCGGCTGGCCACAGAGGCAAGCAGGCGCCGCGGGCCCCCGCTGCTTGCCTGCGATCCAAACAGCGCGGTGCGCGACTGCGGCCACAGGCTGCGTGCCGCCTCGCTGACCGCCAGCACCGCCTGCTGCACGGCTGCCACCTACAGGGGGATGGCGGGGCAGGGAACGCGCGGGGGGCGGGGAGGGGAGGTTAAGGAAGAAGGTTAAGGAAGAAGGCCACCTGGGCTGGCAGGAGCTGGCCACAGGGCCACGGCTGGCTGCAACTGAGCCACGCCATCATCCGCCTGCCCTCCACCCGAGGCCTCCCGCACACACATCCATCCACTAGCAGCACCATACACACTACCCCCGCATGCGCAGCCCAGCAGGCGCGCCGAGGCCCCCCCGGCAGGCGGGCGCACCTCTGTGGGGGTGGGCGTGGCGCGGGCCGCAAACGCCGCCACCTCGTGATGCAATGGCGACAGGGCGCTACCCTGCTGCTGCTGCTGCTCCTGCTGCTGCTGCTGCCACTGCTCCTGCTGCTGCTGCATCTGCTGCTGCTGCTGCCACTGCTGCTGCTGCTGCCACTGCTCCTGGTGCTGCTGCGGGAGGCCCGCCCCCTGCTCCACCAGAGGCTGCACCGCCCGCTGCAGCAGCTGCTGCATCAGCGGGTTGCCGCCGTCGCCGCCCGACTGCTGCGGCGGCGGCGGCCACCCCTGCTGCTGCTGCTGCCACGCCTGCTGCTGCTGCGCCTGCGCCTCCGCCTGCTGCTGCTCCCAGAACCAGTGAGGCGCCGCCGCCGGCGCTGCTCCTGGCGCTGCCGCCGCCGCCGCGCCGTCGCACGAGCGCAGGTAATGCCCGCCGTGCGCGGCCACAGCCGCCTGCAGCGCAGGCCCGTGCCCGTCGCCTGCTGGACCACCAGCGGCCGCCGCGGCCGCCGCCGCCGCCTCCGAAGCATCCCCCTCGTCCTCCTCATCACTCCCGCTTGCCTCCCCCTCCTCCACCTCCCCCTCCTCCACCTCGTCGCCGCCCGCAGCGGGGCCCAGCCAGCCCCCCGCCAGCGCCACGTCGGCCGCCACGGAGGCGGCGGCGCCGCGGTGCAGTATCTGCCGCCGGTACTCCTCCAGGTCAACAGCTGCCGCCTCCAGCACGCGCCGCTCCTCCTCGCGCAGCGCGCCGCACGCCTGGCGCCATCCTGCCTCCTCCCCGCCCGCCGCGCCAAACATGCGGTCCAGCAT